AGGAGAGCCGGCCCATTCACCTCGGCGGGAGACTATTTAGGATGGTTATTATTAGCAATAACTGTTCGAAGAAAAAAAATGTGTGTGTGTTGCTATCGAACTTGACATTGTCCCCTCCAGCTGCTTGATGTCCCGGTGCAGGCTGTGCTCAGGGACCAACGCTGCGCACTGGTTACATAACCTCTGCGCTTGCATGTTCCTGGGCCTCCACGCATAAACCAGCTGTACAGTGAAAGGATTTTAATTTGTCTAACAGCATAGACAGTGGTTGTGTCCTATCACCTTTGTCAACTTGCCGGTGACACTCTTCCTAATGTACCCCTCCAGGACATTGGCCTTCTTGGCTACAAGGGTATCTTGTCAGCTCACAGTCAGCTTGTCCACCAGGACCCCCTGGACCTTCTCTGCAGAGCTGTTCTCCAGCATCTCAGCCCTCAATCTGTGCTGGTGAATGAGGTTATTTATTCCTCCCTAGGTGTAAGACCCTGCACTTGCCTTGGTTGAATTTCAGTAGATTCCTGTATATCTGAGGAAGTGTACACTGCTATGACTGGAACCTCTTTGTGCCCTTTTGTGTGCGGTGTTGCACAAACTACGGTGCCTGTTTACCTCGTAGAATCATAGAATCATGCCTAGAAAAGACCTTCAAGACCATTAAGACCTCCTCAGAAACCTTCTTGGTCTTGCTAGCCTCTTCCCCGCAGCCGCAGACCTGCTTCCCCAGGTCTCTGTGTCACTTCAGACTGGTGAGCATTCTTTGATAGGTGGCATAACTTTCGCTAAGTTTCCGCTTTTTCTCTCTCTCTAATAAGCCCATGAAACAGAAGCAGAGCTGCCTGAGTTCCCCTGTGGTTTCTAGCTAGCCTTTGTAGTGGAACAACCTTTAGGAAGCTGCTGAGCTCAGGCTGAGAAGCTTATGTGCCTGCATGGTTTGTCTTTCATGGATCCTGGCTGTGTTTGACGACCCAACAAAGTGCTGTTTTGCTAGGAAAACCAAAGGGAGGCCCACTAGGAAGCACATCTGGGCACGTGCCGCGGCACTGACATTTGAGGCCACCATTGGGCCCCCGCCGCTCTCCTGGCAGTATTCCTGAGAATGGACTTTGGGACAAGGTCGGATCAGATTCCTTCACAAGGAACAGGGAACTCTTCTTGCTGCATTTTCCTTTTTCCAGCAGGAGGCATCTGGGCACCACAAAGGAAACAAGTGCATAGGAAGTCTTTGGGCTCTGCGAGTTTCCTGGCTCTCTCGAGCCCTTAATCGAAATATAAATTTGGCCCTTGTTACATAGTCATCTAATCATACCATGTGGCAAAAAAAAAAAAATTACTACAAGTTATTAAACATGGGGTGTGGGAATCTTACAGATCATGAATTCTGCTTTTAGTCCTCATGCTCCTGCCCTTTCCCATGTGCTGGTCCTGGTTGGAGGAGGCACAATATGAAGTTATACTCTGAGTTCTGCATCTCCACAGCTCCCGTGTGGAGCTGCTGTGAACTTTCCGTACTTTTAAACTAAGGCACTCCCTCTCTACACAGCAGTGACATCAATTCCTGGGACAGAATATCAGTATTAGGCAGATGTGAACAGCTTGACTCAGTGATGAAAGTGCTTCTTTGTTCTTTACAAGGGATGTCCTTGTTGTTTCTTATTTTACTTGTTGAATTCAAAACCCAGCATAAGTAGATAAACTGATTAGGCAGTCTTGTTATCGTCTCTGCAAAATACAATAGATTTAGCTGAGCTGAGGCTGCTTGCATTTCTAGAGATCATGAACATGCATACTTTTAACATCCCAGAGGTGGATGCATTCAAGGACATAAATTAGTACCTCGGTACATTGATGATATATCTCATTCCACCCTGGCTTTTTCCCAGGCGTGTTTAGTCAGAGCTGTTCAATGCACTCCTGGACTTTTTTTTCCAGGGACATTGATCTTACCATTGAGGCAGGGAATTATCGTCCTAAGGCTGAACTGAAGTGGAGCTGCTGTGCCCAGGGGCAGCTGAGAGTGGTTCTGTTGGAATGACCCCATTAAGGCCCACAAGTGCACTCAGGTCTTGGCAACGTGGAAAATCATCACATACCTCCTTATGACTAAAATGTTCCTCCTTTTCCAGTGAAAACTTCTTCCATCTCAGCACTGTGGTGCTGGGCTTGATTTAGCATGTACTGCTCCATTTATCCCAGGAGACAAATGAATTAAAAAGATTTTACTGATGGTTGTATAGTTCTGGGTTAAGACCATTTTCCCCAAGGGAAGAGCTACCCTTTGTCCAAGTTTCAAATTTTAGCTGGGGACTAATGAAAACAAAACTTTTTTTCTTTTCTTAAGAAAACAGCTGCAAGTTAAAGTATAGGCAACCAGACTACAACAGCACTGACCTTCTCTTGCCAGAGAAATTAGCATCCCAAAGACTGGGTATGATAGATTCATAGAATCATAGAATGCTTAGGGTTGGAAGGAACCTCTAGAGATCATCTAGTCCAACCCCCCTGCACACGCAGGGTCACCTAGAGCACGTGGCACAGGACTGCGTCCAAGCAGGTTTGGAAGATCTCCAGAGAAGGAGACTCCACAACCTCTCTGGGCAGCCTGTTCCAGGGCTCTGTCACCCTCACTGTTAAAAATTTTTTTTAGCAGCTTTCAGTTTAGGGAGCTTAGACTTCGAACTCAGAATGGAACAGGTATGCTAAGCATAAGGCCAGAGAGAAGAAGTAGGTATTAGGTATTATCAATCTTTGTTTTCAGGGTGTTCTGTTCCTGTTATCCCTAGAACTGATGTCAACGCAGAGGGTGGGCACAGCTCTGCACTCCAAGGATACTTCCAAGGAGCCTTCGCACTGGAAAAATGATTAGTGCACTTCTCTGGCAAGGAAGCAGAAGGAAAAAAAATGTCCTTGACTGCAATGTGGGTTGTTAACAGGACTTTCTTGGGAGAGGACGCTCAGGGACAGCTCCTGTTTTACACTGTTGCATTGTTGCAGGTACAAGGGGCTGCTCCAACTCTGTGGTGGCATAGCACAACTCAGATAGCTTGTAAAGCTGTGTAGATGACTCTTCCGTGTCAGACATGCCATTTTGTGGAAGGCCTTCTTGACAGCACGGTATCTGCAGAAACTGAAAGTTTCTCAGTCTCTGCTGGATGTCACAAAGATGAGGCTGAAAGCAGGATGGACACTGGCCTATTCTCTTTATTTTTTTGTTTTCTTGTTTGTTTTCACTTTCTGTTTGCTTCTTGCTTAGTGAAACTTCCTCCATAGTCATTCAGGAAACCTCTGTGAGTAGCCTTGGAGGCCTTGGGCTAGAAAGCAGAGTAGTTCTGCTAGCAGTGCAGACAGAGAAGCTGCATGGTCTGCGCTCCCTCAGAAGTTTTGGGTCCAGTTGTAGGAGTGAACCGTCCTGCCCACAATACCCTGGTGCCTTAAGTGCACTGGTTCTGCACAGAAAAGGATGGTAGATCTGTTGCAACTTGGTCAGCACCTCCACTTTTCTTCTGCCTGAGTCAGTGTTCATTAAGACAAAGGAGATCTTCTAATCTTGTGGTCTGACCCTCTGGGTACCACCATCTGAAGAACTTGACCCAGCAGGGCTATCACAGCATGTCATGGTGCTAACCAAGTGGAAGACGAGTCCAGTCACTCATAGTTGGCTAGGAGCATATTTTTCAGCAATGGTCAGAGTTTCTGGTTGCTCCCAGTTGTTACAAAACTTGCTTCCATTTCTGCTGTGGAACAGTTCTTGGAGGAAATATTAATTTTATTCATCTATCTATCTATCTAGCTAGCTGTCATTAATGGGTCATTTAACCCACTGTTAGTCATGGCACTTGTTAAACAGAAACCTACAAGAACAATTTGAGTCAGAAGGAGTATTGCCTGCATTCGATCTGACAAGTTTCAGAAACCTGTAATAATGGTTGAATTACTATCATTGATGGTTCTTTAAACGCTGAGTTGTGGCTAGATGCTGATCAAGGGATTAATACAAATTTGGAAGCCTGCCTAAAATATGAAAAGACACAAGATTTACACATTCTTCCTTGTTCCTCATGGCTTATTATTTTTGTGGGAGCTGCAGAAAAGTAGAGGCAATAAGAATAACAAATCATAAGGTCCTCCAGAAAATTCAGGATGACTGATCTCTGAGTCCTTAGGAAAGTTTTCATTGGCTCAAATTACCTAAATAGACCAATCGGAGCATACTCCACCAAGACTATATCCATTACAAAGCAGTTTGCCATTTTGTCACCAAGTATAGCTTTAATTTCCATATGAGATCTCCTGTGACCATCACATGAGCTCACAATGCAAACCCTCAAAAGCTCTTCCAGGTAGAAGCCCTGTTAATAATTGAGAGCATAAGTGCTCTCCAGCACTGTGCTGTGAGGATAGCTCAAGGCAACTTGAGGGTGTTGTGCCATTACTCCTTGCAAGACAAAGATGCTTTCTCCTGTCAAATGTCCTTCTCAGCTGCAGGTCAGTCTTGCTTGTAATCGGTCAAGAAATCGAAGTTCAGAAATAAAGGTGCTGGCTTTCATTCTGCCATTGCTACAAGGCTAAGCTATTTTATATACACACTTCTTGTGTAAGCCCTAATTAATGTTTAATACCTTA